AAAGTCTGACAAGAAAATGTTTTTCAATATAAATTATATTTTTTTATAATTTAATATTAAAATTATTATAATACTTTTAATAAAATACCTATCATATTTATTCATTAATAATATCTTTTTAATTTTAATATTTCAACTGTACAAAATAAAAATGCAATCAGTATTGACAGACACCATTATCAAGACCAAAAGAATCATTAAATTCACACGTCTCTCCATGTTTATTCATTAGTAGTTTAGGGTGATAAGAAAAATAAGTAAAAAATATTCAACATTTTTACTTGTGTTAATAATTTAGACAGAAGAAAGTGTTTTACAAATTATCTTTTAAAAATTTGACAAAAATTTTGTCAAAACCAATCATTAAATTGGAGGATGATACAGATAACAAAAGGTCAATCATTGCGTTTTTGTCTTTATTATTATTTTTTTAATCGCTTGATGATGGTTGGTGTTCTGATGATCAATTGTAGTGGAATTAATTATATCTGGGTTCATGTAGCCTGTGTTGTATTTGGACATTTCGGTCTGAAATTAACATCTCTGGTTCAAGCCTGAAAATATTGGGCCTCTTATGTGGGCCAGTCTAACGAAAAGACTCTACCCCTTACTTTTCCTTTTCCTCCTTTCCTTCCTCGACGGACGGATGAGCTATCTCTCGACGGCGACGTATGTGAGGCTTTGTGCCTTGGCTCGATCTCGCCGGCAGCGCCTTCTGACGGCTCCATCTAGCTGGAGAAGGTATGTCGTTGTCTTAACAATTCTTATGGAAATCTTGAAACTTTACGATTTCATGGGAACTCCTATTACTATTTACTTTAGTGCTATAGGTTATATTACAGAAATTATTTCCTTAATAAAATTTCCTTGATTTAAATTGATTAGATTCACTCATTTGTCAATAATTTTTCTTCTGAATCATCGCAATTCATTTTTTGGTTTGCGAATTTTGATTCTGAGTAGCTAGATTTTCCCCTTTTTGGTCTGTAAATTTTAATTTTACCAGCGGTAGAGGGCTGACGAAGTGTGTTCTCTAATGGGAAGCCAGCAAAGCTAAGGCACATATTACAAAAATATAAGATTTCAAATTGATAACAGATTCATTATATGAAGCAAACATGCACCAAAGAAACGAGCAGAAATCCCATTAACATAACATGCTTGATGACAACTTACAACACAACAAGTTACCAAAAGAAATAGAGATACTATGGCTGAATTAAATTGTGTTGTAATCATAATTAAAAGTTATTTTTGATAGTTAGTTATTTATATTTTAAAAGTA